CGATTGATTTTATGGGATCGGTTTTGTGATGTGCTCGATTGATTTTGATTTTACTTCTCACTTGAATTTCATGCTCTAGTGCTCGATTGAAAAAATCAACAAACGCTTGATTTTTTCAAAAATTCAAAACACGCTTGATTTTTTGAAATATTTCAATATCCGATGCTCTGGGTTATATGACCTACTCGCGCATACAACACTGACTGCTAGGCTGGAGAATAAGAGCTGTTGAGCATCGAGGCATCCGCCGCCGAAGTTCGTGGAGTGGGAGGTCGATCTCTTCCAACCTATCAAAGACTGGAGTTTGGTTTCAGTCATCCTCGCAACTCGCACCCAGAGAAGGCTTCACGACAACTGGTCAACGAACGACTTCTACCTGCAGCTACAGAGCAACCGCAGACAGGCAAGATCCAACCCCCAAAGTCTCACACGGCGTATCACAAAATCAAAATCTGTTGCCGCTAGGAAACAAAGGACCCATGCTCGCAATTCCAGCGTCCCTCTCAAATGCCACTACATACTGCATCTGTCATGCTTTCACTCGACCGGAGAACCAAACCACATAAACCCCACTGCCTGAGGACCTAACATAAGGAGCTTGAACCCACACTGTAACCACACTATAATAACCATTGCTCAACCCATGTCCAAACCCACTTACTCGACAGGCAAGAACTCAAGAATGTCTGCTGCCCGGTTCTCATTTCTCTACTGCTGGATAGGTTGACCAGATTCGAGGAGTTGACTACGTTTGGCTGCATAGCACCGAAGTCGCGAGTTCGGTAACAACACAGCTGATCTACCAGTGATAACACAAAGCGCAAGTGGTACAGGGTCCCTTAAGCCCCTTATGCCGTGACTGCTTTTGAGAATGGCTCAGAGCCATCACGAGCAGCCCCTAAAATAGACGCATCGATATAATACTAGTGATAAACTTCCAGGAACTTGCCGCTTCAGTAGCCAAGTGGTAGCTACCACTATATCCAGTCAGCCGTATTAGTTGGACGTGGCCTTTCACCCTGCAACTTCATTTCCAAATGCTGTAGCCAAAGCAAACTGCGTCGTGTAGGTCTCCATCGAACTCCACTTTTCGACAAAGGGTTTCAGCCCCATTTAGCATTGCGTGCAGTGACGTCGGTATATGGGCTGTAAGGTTAAAGTTTTCTGGGCTGATGGGTGTCATCCTACGTAGCATTTCCAGCAGAAGCACACGGCAGCACATTTGCGAAACTTGCCTTGCCAACTCCTCGTTTTCGAACTCCTCGCCCAAGATGAGGCGCCTTGCACCCGTGGCTCGTAGTGGATGCAGAAACCCGAAGGATGAGGGGTGTACGGACTATGTCACTTGCAAATTCGCTTGCGGGATGTGCCATCACGGTCAAGCCTTTACTTGCGGGATCTTCGCAAGGCAAAGTTTTCGTGGAATATGCGGCTCTCCAAAGCCCTCAACGCTGAACCGCCAGCCCGAAACAGCAATGGTCTAGAGGCCAGTCTTGTGTCCAGGTCTCCGCAACTCAGCACTCCCGAGCCGCCAAACTCCAACCCGAAATCGAAAATGCCAATGCCTCCGAATCTCCATCTCGGGGAGGTCAACGTCGTTCAGCCTGTAGGATAGCAAGCCGAATGAATAAGTTCTAGGTCAGGTGTCTGTACGAGATGAAACAAACTTGATTGATGCGCCGGGCTTTAAAAAAAGTGATACAGCCCTAGACCACTTTTGGAACTGGCTTGCAACATCACGTCAGGACAGCTGACTCGTTCCAAACCCCTTTTTTTGAGCAGGGACTGCAATGCACTAAGCCCTGAATCCCTTCAGCCAAGCCCCTAAACCCTTAAACATAATTCCCCATGGCCTGCACACCAAAACGCGATTAGTTCAATACCCGGGGAATTTAGGGTTGAGAGTGCTGGGTGGAGTGTTTCACATCTAGCTTTGGGGGTGTATTGGGAAGTCACGGATGCGGGCTAAACGCGTCACCCGTGTAAGGTCTATAAGGCGATATAGGGTCTCGAGTCCAGAGTCTTATTTGTTCCTGCTTGTGCTTTGTTGGGCCGGCCTAGGGCGTAGGCTTCTACAGCCGACAAGCCAGAAGCCCTGTAGGTTGTAATTCCGAGTCCAACATCAAGCAGGAGAACCCATTCCCTAACGGCCCCTAGTTGCAGTAGTTCGTACAATCCCCGGACGAAACCCCTTAACCTGTATCCTAATGTAGGGCCTAAAATAATTACCAATGCTATTCTGGGGGTTCCTTACTCTACTTAGAGTATAATTTAACGGACCCCAAAAACCTGTTCTAAGTATGAACCGGAAACCGTAAGCCTGCTCCGAATCCCACAGTTTCCAGGCCCACAGCCCACAGCCCCACGAACCCTTCAGCCGGAAGCGAAGCAGAATGCCAAGGAGAGCACAGCACTCAATGACTCAACGGCCACATGAGCAGCAACAGATAAAACAGGGTACCACCAGCTAACAGAAACAAGAACTTATGGGTTTAGTGTTTAGGGTCTAAGTAACTAGCCCAAATTAAGTCCAAGATTATACTTTCGAGTTCTATACTATACCTGTAGTCTCCATTGTAGTTCCTTTTTTGGGATACCTTGTAAAATCCTTAATATATTTATAATTGGTTAAGCCAAAATAAGGAACTACAATGGATACTATAGGTAGTATACCTCCCAACCCTGCTCTGATTGGTAACGCCCCCAATGTTATCTTCTGCGAACCTGAGACATCGCTTAGGGTCTAGGATCGGATGAGATTTCATGTCATCAGCAAGGGTTTATAACGCATATCTTAAATAGGAACCATTTAAGGACAAGGCATACAAAATGTAGGGATGTGGACCCTTGCTGTAAACCCCAGGCCTCTCTTTCTCGGCCTTGGAGAAACGACCGGTTCCAGCCAGGAACCTCAGAAAAACACTGTGTGCACATGTTCTTGCCATGGTTTACTCTATACATTGTTTGCTGCTTTTCATTCGTTGGTTCTTGCTCCGATTGGATCGGTCAAGAATTGAACAAAAGCTTCAAACCATTTGGGTCCAATTTTGCTTCTGTATGGGAACAGTGTGGTGTCCTGGCGTCGCTGCAACCTGCCACCTGATACAAAATGGTACCATTCGTGGCGTGGCATACTCAAGTGCCTACTGAACGTTCCGTTTACTTGGACTTGTGTGGGTTGCATAGGATTCAAGGTGGCGCTATGCCCAGGTTGGTCGAGTCGAGGCTCTCGCATCTGGGACAGGAAGCCCTTACAAGCTAAGCAGTTGTGGCCAAAGCCGAAATCAGCCCGGGTTTTGTGAGCAAGGTCGCAGTTGTCAGTTCTGCAAGTAGCAATCTGAGGAATTGAAGCTTGGGGTAAATTGTGGGCGGATCCAAGCTACATCCCCTGTCGAAACGGAAGGTTTTAAAGCAAGTTTCACAGGTTTAGCTTGAGGCTCGCGGCCTTCCATTTATGTGTGTGTGTGTGAACATCTCTTTGTTCGACATGCTGGCAATAAAGAAAGACAGGAATAACAGGAAGCGATGCAAAGAATGAAGACCCAGGCTCGTGACCACTATGGTTGCGATGGTCGCAGTCGATTGCAGCAGGTTCGCACAAAGCCCTGAAAGCTCGAAACCCTACCCAAACACCATCAAAAGCCCCCTCACCCCCAAAAGCTCGTATCCTGCAATCTAAACTCGGAATCTGATATATAGATCTTGGAGTAGCTAGGAAGCCTGTTCCCTTATTGCCCCACTGGAATGGCCGACAGTACCACTGCATCGCTCTGGCTCAAGTTGCTGTAAGTACCAACAAACCCAGCTTTACTTATCACGGGCCTATATTGAGCATCCCAGAGACCCCACATGACCGTATATCATATAATATCATATATTATCCTATACTGTGTTATGTTACACTGTTATGTTGTATCACATTATAATGTAGTTCCCCAAAAGCTTTCAACTCCAGGGCTCAGCCCCCAAAACCCTTTGTGTGCGACTGAACCCGGAGAACACCCGGGCCTCCGAAGCCTCTCCAAGGGAAAGCCTTCTGCCTTGAGCCTCGGCCGAGGATAGGACTTACGAAGGTCGTTCAGAGGGCTTGTAGAGGAGCTAACACTGGCGTTAGGGCTTGTTTTGGCTTCTTCTGATTCAAAGAGTTTGTGGTTTGTATAATGTTATAAGGCTTTCAGGGTGTACGGGATTGATATCCTGCATTCGAACCGCAACACTTGCACCGAAGTGCCGAATCTTCGGATTCCAATGCGAATAGGATCCGAAGGCGCCAAATGCACACATGAAGCCGGGGTTCGGGATGTCAGACGGCCGCTCGCCGTGGGTTCTAGGCTAAGGGCCGAGGGGAGGCAGGAGTTTAACTGCTCCATAGGCACAAAGCTTTCTGATGCAATGGTGCCAAACATTTCCCTCTGCATGCGACTACGCTTGCATAGAATCGCGGGTAAGAGAGAGAGAGAGAGAGAGAGAGTGTGTGTTTGTGTTGCGTGTGAATGCATATATACACACATGGAGAGTACTAGAATGTAATATAATATGACATAACATACCATAATTAATATACTATGTATATATATATATATATCCAGTTCAAAAATACTATTACAATATAGTATCATGTAAAATCAAACAATGTAATCTAATATAAGATCACAGCTTATTATACAACATATTACAAGACATCGTGATTTTATAATGTCGTATAAAACCAACTAAAATTCTGTATAATGTAGTGTAACCTCAAGCAACCCATTATAATGTAGCACTGTAAATATTATAGTCTGTTATGCTATACTATACTATACTATCACCTAATATAGCACAATGTAACATAGTATAACATACTACAACATAAGATAACATAGCACAACATAATTTCGCATAGTATATCAACATGATACACCAGTACATATTACAATATACAGTATACACACAACTGTATGCACACACGCTCATGTGTCATGTTGATATACATATACAGGGCCCCAGAAGCCTTGGATAGGAGTCTGACGTACTCTGCTCATCTTTGGAGAAAATATCTCCAGTCAGCAGGCGCCTTCGAAAGGAGTTTTCTCAAGACGCGCACGCTTCTGAGGACTTCATGTTCCCTCGTATGGAACATTACCTGATTACCTAGTACACGTTCGTGATTTTAATGATATCTAACTGATCAACCGCCTTCATTGCAACACTGCAACGGTAACGGTAACGAGCTGCAGTTCTCACCTCCAACCCTCCCCACTCCAATGTCTGGTTGGAGTAAAATGGCGGCAGGGAGAAGCTTTCCACCTGGTGTGCGCTGCATTACCCTGCGTGCTGCAAGCCTCGCAAGGAAGTGTCTCTTCAAAAGCAGTAGCAAGACCGCGCAAACAGGACATAAAGCGGACAATTGTCGAAACAACGAAAGAGACAATCAAAGAGTAAGACCACCAGTAACCGATTCTATGCTGGAACATGCACTTATCTACAGACATACACAGATGATCTTCATGACTACGTCATGTACAGGTACACTTTCAAGTTCCACCTTCTGCTTTCCAAAACCTTCCTTTGCTTTCTCGAGGGCCTTTGCAGCTCATCCAGGCCGAAACCTGCCAGTTCCAACCTGGCAGTGATGGCTTCGGTGGTTGCAGTCTAAAGGCGTTTGGCAGTTTCCGGGAGGCTGTTAGGTAGATACTTGTGCCCACAAAAGCATTGGGGACCAAGCCTCCGATCAAGATTGCGGAAACCCCTGGCACTTTGGCCGTCTGCGCATGCCGAGGCTGGCCCGTGTGTCGCTTACGAAAACCCTTTTTGCGTCCAGACGGGAACTGACTGCGGGCTAGACATTGCATCTAGCTTCCCGAAAACACGGAAATATACTGAAACCATAAACAACCCCAAACGCCTAAACTCCAAGCCCTAAGTCCAAATCCCTTTTTGCACAGACAAAAACCCCTAAACCCCAAACCGTCCACCCAAATCCATAAACCCTTAACCCCAAACCCCAAATCTCCACAGGCTGGAGCCTCGCAGCTTCGTCCTCTGAGAGCCCATAGCCCAGCAATCCGAGCCTCCGAGCCCAGAACATCCCAACAGAGATGCGACAACAGGGTTTGGAGACGTAGCCACATCTTCGAAGTCTAAGTAAGAAAGTCACTCTAGTCTTAATCACCTAAGTCGAGTTCCGTTCGACACGTAGTCACCTGAAAAGTAGATTGAGCAAACTTCAGTACGCATGCCACACGCAGATGCTGACTGTAAGCCTGGCAGCCTAAACCTGTGACATCCGAAGAGACGTGGGTAGTTCTTTAAATTTGTGTCCCGTTTTAGGTTCCCAGAACTGTATGGCACCCGTAGAATAAGGACTCCAAAAGGGACCCGAATTTAGAGAACTACCCACATAGTTCTTACGCTCACACAAGTCGGACGAATGGTGCTTAGGGTTCAAGTCTTTTGGCAAGACATGGAAGATCTTTGCGGCTTGCTTGAATTATATGAGCCCGTCGGTCTCGGCTTCTGTCTTGAGGGGAAAAACAGGTCAATTTGTAAGTGTAGCTCTTGAAGGGTCTGGGACGTTGAGGGTTCAAGGTTCTTACTACTACTAGCAGGGTGTGAAGGGTCTACCTTCAACAGGGCTTGTGAACAGCGTTTATTCCAAAAACCAAGGTCTTGTCGCTGTTAAGCTCTATCTGGTTCACACCCAACCGCCGAACTTACACCCCAGCCTTCGCAGATCCGCGTCTGTGAAGCCGGTTCCACGGAGCCTAGCGGCAGGAGGACTCTGTGAAACTAGAACTGAAGCCGAAAAGCCGCAATCAGACCTATCGCAGTAGCGATGGCAAGTGCGATGAGCAGCTCCGGACCGAGGCATGATCCACAACCACAACCTTCGTTGGCAACCCGCCTCCTTCCTCGTAAAGCCCGAAACTGGCCCAACACCCGTTGGTCCCTCAGCCGATGCCCCCAACGGATCCTCTTCAGGTCATCTTCTGTCAAGCCGGTGCCATTGTAGGCTTTCCTCCATTTTCGGGTTTCGTCGGACATGCCCAGGTTAGGACTGCGAGGATGGTTGCAGAAGGTGCTGGCTTCAAAGTTTGTCGTCGTAGCGTACAGCCCAAAAGCAACTATCAAGCCTTCGCAACAGCCCGCTGCTAAAATAAGCACGGACTCCCTTGAGAGTTCTAAGAGAGTGGGGGTCGTAGGGCTTTCAGCACTCACAACTGGGACAAGCCTGGGGGTCGTAGGGCTTTGGGGTCTCGGGCGTGCAGGCATCCGAGCCCTCTGACGTCTTGGACAGTCTTTCCGATGTTCCTCGAGTCCCAGCTGATGGGGCTTGGCGGGTTCAGGGGCCTGAAATTCATCTGTGGGAGTTGGTCTGAACACAAGGTTACTATAGAGGGCAAGGACCCGAACGGTTGGCAAAGCATGACCCCGATTTAGAACAATCCCCATGTCGCAACGAGGCTAGCAAGCAGCTAGAGTACACCCACATATCCGATGCACGTGTGTGAACAGCCACAACAAGATAGATGACTGAACGTGGCCTCATACTAAGTGGCCGAAGATTTCGGTTGCTTAGCACAGGTTCGTCGAGGTTTCCTGGTGGTGTCTGGTGGTGCCATCTGCGCGTGCGCAAGACGGATATTTCACATGCGTGATGCTTTCGGAACCGCAAATCCGCATAATCCTGACTGATAGCCTGATAGCTCAGCACTGCCATGTGTTACTCAATCTCAAAGAACAATCGTCAATCACTTTACCCCCAAGGAAATGACACCACGCCTATAGATTGCCTCTGGGGTCAGGAAGATCCCGGTCAACCTTGTGCAGGCAATGGAAACTCAAGTTTGATGAGAATCAAAGTGACTTGCCTAATGGCCGCCTTTGAACAAAGAGCGCTGGATCCATGAACGCTTTATGGCACACACACACACACGAGGCACTGAAGGCAAGAACAGCAAACCATGGCTAAACTCATCTGCACCTCTACAAGCAGCTCCCCCATTGAAGAGCGGCAGGTACCAAGTGAGACTGATTCGCTACCGTTACACAGAGAGAAAGGCATATAACACAGAGTGACACTGGCGAACAAACCAACTCCTGAACAAGAGCAGGGCTGTGGGTGATCATCAGTCTACAAGCTACGAGCAATTTATGGACAACAGCGTACCCGCGGACACAACACATGCTCGAACGATACATCACTCTCAACACGGATGTCAGATACAACTAGAGCAATACTGCCGCCTTGTTCTCTGATGGCACAGCGACTTCCAATTGTGTTCCCGATGTTTCATGGCTGATGCTTCTACTCCCACTACAGTGCAAGTTACTGTGGTCATAGCATAGCAGTAGCAGTAGTTGCAAATCATCGTCGACGCAAAAGCAGTAAGAGCAGAGAAGCAGAAACAGGTGTGTCGTAGTAGTAGTAGTAGTAGTAGTAGTAGTACTACTACTACTACTACTACTAATAGTAGTAGTAGTAGTAGCAGCAGCAGCAGCAGCAGCAGCAGCAGTAGTAGTAGTAGTAGTAGTAGTCGGAGTGGTAGTGGTAGTGGTAGTAGTAGTAGTAGTAGTAGAAGAAGTAGTAGTAGAAGCAGTAGTACAAGTAGTAGTATAGGTGGTAGTATAAGTAGTAGTATAAGTAGTAGTATATAGTAGTAGTCGTCGTCGTGATGGCGCTGGTAGTAGTAGCAGCAGTAGGTAGACCAGTAGAAGTACAAGTAGAAGCAGCAGTAGCAATAGCAGTAGCAGTAGTAGCAGTCGCCGTAGTCGTCATAGTAGTAGCAGTAGTAGTAGCAGTAGTAGTAGTACTACTACTGCTACTACTACTACTACTACTACTGCTACTAGTAGTAGTAGTACTAGTAGTAGTAGTAGTAGTAGTAGTAGTAGTAGTATAAGTAGTGGTACAAGCAGTAGTCGTAGTAGTAGTAGTAGTAGTAGCAGTAGTAGTAGTAGGAGGAGGAGGAGGAGCCGTAACCGTCGACGTCTGTGCTGAATTGGGATTAGTACGACTACCTGCTACGACGATGACGACGACATGCGGCTAGCAAGAATGTGCATAAAGCTTGTGTGACCCTCACGATGAGAACCACAGCAGAAAAAGGGCCGGCCTTGAATGCTGCAAGCAACCGCACATGCGACCCAGTACATAAACTGCCCTGAACTGTCCTGGAAGCCTAGCAGCTTCCGCGTGTCTTCCACGGTGAAGCCGCCAAGACCACGACTTGGCAGGGGAAGATTAAAGCGTTGGATGGCTCCGGATTCTCATCTCAGAAGGCTTCAGTGCTTCCACGGGTGGATGCCTAGCAAACATGGAGGGATGTCGATCAAGCTAAGTCATAAACCGCGGCGAGGTTCTCCGATGATGTTGCACATACTTCTTGGTACGGCCGTGACAGATCTGAATTCTTTTCGCGAGTTACAACTTTTTTGGATGCTGCTTTACCTGTAGCCGCCGTTTTGCTTTACTTGCAAATCACTCGACATGAAAGCAAAACTCCTCACTGTTCTTGCGCCAGGGGAAGGTGTGAATCTGGGCACCGCGCCACCAGGCAGCAGTGTCAGTGATCTGCAAGCGCTCCTGGGACTTTGAGGATTTCAGGGGATGGACCCTTCATTCGTATGGAATTGATGTGTTCAGGCTGTCACTATCATTTACGATTAAGCAAAAACTGTTTTTCTTCTTGTTCTTCTAATTCTCTCTCTCTCTCTCTCTCCAGGGCATGGGGGACGGTCAAATCCCCCGGGCATCATGCCCACCCAACATTATTAATTGGGCGCAAGGGAGTGAAGCGTGAGCATAAATCACCTGGAAGGCTAAAGCCATAAAGTCTACGATAACGAGGTAAGGTGATTGTATGCTCTCCAGGACACATTCTCTCTCTCTCTCTCTCTCTGTCTCTGCCGTTGCATCCAGAGGGTCTGGCAGCGCCAGGCAACGCATCAGGCTCAGCCCTTCAGGCCCGTCACGAAAACAGTAAGCCGCCCCTCAAGCAGCGGCGAGTGCCGACCTTTGTCAGGCACACACCTCTGCAGGCACTTTCGCGGCCCGCTCACTATTATAATAGTTATAATTTTATGAACTGCTGAAAAATGTTCTTTGAACAGCTGCTTCAAGATCGTCTGGTCTTGGCTCAGTCGGGTAGTTAGTCGGGAAGATGCTAGCGAGTTTGGGGTTCTTTCGGGCGCGAGTTCGTGGTCAGCACGAAGTGCACAGGGGGCTTATCCGAGTTTATCCCCACCTCCATCGCGACGTCGGCCAACCCTCTCTTTTGGCAGGTCTCGTGAAGACTCTCTCGGTTGCTTTGAAGCTGCCGTTGTCACCGAATCGGGAAAGCCCGGTGAGCTTCTGTGGGAAAATGCACATCACGAAAGGGAAAGGGCTAGGCGCTGTGTCGTTAAAACGATTGGCATCTGCAGGTCAATGCACGGTCAGCGAATTTCATGGCTCAAGGCCATAGAATTTGAACTTGTAGTGTCCTGACACAGGAATATTCTCGCGTTGCTGATCCTGCTTGTCTCTCACAGGGGGTGCGTGATAGTCGCAGAGTCGCGCATCGGCAGTCGGCAGGCTTGAAGCGCAAGGGCCCGAACAATGAATCCAAATATGGCCGCACATTGGGCTTAATTTCACCGTCCAGCACTGCTGGCTTTGACGGCAAGGGCGAGGCTGTGGGTCGAGGAGTCGAGCGAAGCGCTCTTGGATTCCGTTTGACTTTAGCCGAGATTCCAAATGCGGGACGAAGCGTCTTGAGGATGCTGATCTTTCGTCTGGACTGGTAAACCAGTGCTCATGCCCCCCAACACTTTCACATAGCAACGTAGCATGAGCAGCATAATGAGCAGTGACGCCCCAGTGCGACAGCTTCTGATGAACCCCCAAGTACTGAAAACAACTCATGAACTGTTTTGGAAACAAACAAGGCTCAACCAGATGTGTCCCCGGCAGCCACATGCTTAAATCATTACCACTCTACGAAACCCAATGGCTCTAACCACGGACAGTTCTGAGGCAACTGCAATTTCATGCACATGGAGATCCGCGTCAGCCTCGCCATGACATGACTTGCATAATCATAATTAATAATCGCATCACTCAAGATTTGCACGAATATCAACAAACACAAGGGATCAATGAATCCTAGGGGTTCCGGGTCCCGTGCGCGCTGTGGACTTCATAACTTTTGCAGCGTAGTTCCCGAACAGTGAAAGAGAGCGTAGCAGTCCAGGCCCCATGTATACCCCTCTGAAGCTGCCGGCCACTAGTAGTACTAGTATTCGTAATAACAATAATTAAACGAATCTCTTTATACCGAATCTATCGACCCTAAAAACCTCATCACACCGTCTGGCAAAACAATCACTGGCGAATTCGCCCAGTAACTCAGTAACCAAAGAAGGCCATAGAGTAGTCGTCTGGCGCATGGAGAAGTACACCTTGCTACGATAGCAACACTTGTTCGTGCAAGATGTGCAGCAAGCAGCTCGCCCAGCAAGCTCCAGCCAGGGCCCGAGCGTGTTGCAGCATTGTGAACCTGGCATCGGGAACTCGGGGCCGAGTAACGCAACTGCTTCTTACGTAATCCTCCATGAACCTCCGGCGGCCCGGCCGCTGCTGACATTGACTACAAGTTATGTGCGAGAGCCACGACTTGCCTCTTCGTGTTACATCTTCAGTATCCTGCAGTTACCCTAAGAACTGCTGATCATGTCCAGCCCCTCTTGCATGGTGTGTCTGTGTCACGCGCAGAGGGTCACGGGGATGGATCCATTCGCGCCAAATAGCCGGCGAGCCTGCTATCTTTGGCGAAGCCTCCATGCTTGATCGTGCTCTGCAGCTTCTTCATGCGCACATCTGGCCTCGAGGAGGGTTGGCAAACCATCGCAAGCCCGAATCAACTGTCCCAAGCCCTACGCGCTGACACGCGCAACAATCCACTACAATCACTGATGACGGACGCACACAAACACAAACAAAGACACTCACACTCACTCACTCGCTCACTCACTCACCACCACTACCGCCGCCACCAGCAGCTGCAACAGCAGCAGCAGCAGCAGCAGCATCACAACCACCACCATCATCATCAACATCAAGCATCATCATCATCAGCAGCGTCATCATCATCATCATCATCATCACTGTGGAGGGTTCTCGAAATCCTCGAGTTTCTTCGAAATCTTTGGACAGGCAGGGTCGCACAGGTCACACTCAAAGGGTGATGCCGGGACACGGCATAAGCAGGACTCGGACGAGAGGTCAAGCGTTTAGCTTCTTCATGCTACAGGCTCGGGCAACACGAATGCTCACATATATCTTGTACTTTCAAGCACATGACATCGTGCGGTGACGAGAATGCGGGCAACAACGTACCGATGAAACGTGTCGGTTGTTCAATAAGACCTTCTGTTCAGATGGTGAAGTTGTGTATGAATCGCCTCTCTGCAGGTGCTGTTCTGTTCTGCCTGCCTGGCTTCACGTGCTGGCCTGTTCTGGGTTTTGCACTTCTGAGCTCGCTTCTCTATTGGTAAAGACCCCTATAGTCCTACAGCGGACTCTCAAATTCCAATTCCGCAGCCTGGGCCTCCGACCCGTCCGCCGGAAAGATTCTCTCTGTTCTCCCGGCCATGGCGGCATCCATTTCAGTCCTGCCCAGGCGGAGGAAGATGCAAGGAAAGGGGCCCTCTGACTCTTCAACTGTTGTGTTCAAGATCTTCACGCTGGCAGACATTTCATCCTTTTTTGGTGCAATACCTTAATCTTGGACTGCCTTCATCTGCTTAGTCATTATTACGCCGGCATAGATCCCGAAACAAGAGCACCACGACGACCATGTCATACGACGACGGCCGCCACCACCACCATCACCACCGCCGCCACCATCAGCACCACCTGCGAGTTGGCGGAACCTTGCGCGTTCGTTTCAAGCCCTGGCGGGATCTGGTGAAATTCAGCGACCCCTCACCACAGCGGTAGTTAGCTGAACCTTCCGGGTGCGCATCGGGCGCTCCTCGAGCCCACACCCGACTTTGATCCAGTTCTCTTAATACACTGAACCTTAGAGTCCCTTAGAGCCCGCCAGACTGTAAAAATGTAGTATACCTGCACGGAGCGAATGTGTGGCTGGTGGAGGTTGAGTGTTTGGACAAAAGCTACGCCTGTACGACTGCCAAACTGCACCAACCAGCGATAGCCGCTGATGCTCCAAATTCAAATTATCCACGGCAAGATCGCACACTAGCATTTTCAGGCAGGGCAACATGCGACGGCCTCTGAGGTACTACTTACACTGCTTACACCTACCGACGCAGCCACTACGAGGCTTGACCAGGCTTCGGGCCTCGTTTGTGTGGCTGTTCTTTCGAACTGCGCTTAAAGTTCAGCCTCACTCTGAATGCCAGACTCACAGCTGCTCTCTCTTGACGGCTGTGGAGGTTTGTGAGATTTCTGCGTAGATCTTGGAGGAGAGCCCGACCACAATAGCAATCTCCAGGCACAGCGAGAGGGGGTAGTTGCTCGATGTGGAAGGGAAGATGAACATTGAATTTTCCGGTATTGGCCATTGCATGTCGTGATGAGAACCGTGGGGTGTTGCACCTCGCAGATGGTCGATGTCTGACCATAGCTGGTTGCATATCCATAAAGCCAGCAGCACAGTTGCAAAGCCAACCCTGCATCGCCAAGACTTCACCTGTCC